ACGGGGACGGACGGAGAGTGCCGAGCGCTGCCGGAGAGGGCCGAGCGCCGCCGGAGAGTGCTGATGACGGATGGGGGCGGCCCGAGGGGCGCGGCGCCCCCTGGCGGTGAGAAGGAGATGGACGGTGGCACAGGCGAGGGGTGGGCGAGGGGTGGGCGAGGGGTGGGCGGGCCCGTGGCCCCACGGAGAGGGGGTGAGACGTGGTGCTGCTCCTCAGGGTCCGTGCTGGCATCGGCACTGCTCTGTGTCGTCATCCGTGACACGGACAGCGGGATGGAGGGCAGCAGCTCTGCAGATGACACCAAGCCGAGTGGTGGAGTGACACGTCTGAGGGACGGGGTGCCATCCAGAGGGAGCTGGGCAAGCTGGAGGAGCGAACCGAGGCCAACAAGGTTCAACAAGGTTCAACATGGCCAAGATCGGGTCAACCTGGGTCGGGTCAACCCACAGTATCAATCCCGGCTGGGAGATGAAGGGATGGAGAGCAGCTCTGTGGAGGACGACTTGGGGGTGCTGGGGGGCCAAAAGCTGGACATGAGCTGGCAACGTGTGCTGGCAGCCCAGAAACCCCCCCATCCTGGGCTGTGTCCCCAGCAGTGAGGCCAGCAGGGTGAGGGGGGGCGGATTCTGCCCCTCTGCTCCGCTCTGGGGAGACACCCCCCAGTGCTGCCTCCCGTTCTGGGGCCACCAACATCAGAAGGACAGGGACCTGTTGGAGCGGGGCCAGAGGAGGCCATGGAGATGCTGGGAGGGCTGGAGCCCCTCTGGAGTTGGGGGGAAAAGAGAAGAGTGCCGGGAGAAGAGAAGGCTCCAGGGAGACTACATAAAGGGGCTGAGCCCAGAAACCCCCCCATCCTGGGCTGTGTCCCCAGCAGTGAGGCCAGCAGGGTGAGGGGGGGCGGATTCTGCCCCTCTGCTCCGCTCTGGGGAGACACCCCCCAGTGCTGCCTCCCGTTCTGGGGCCACCAACATCAGAAGGACAGGGACCTGTTGGAGCGGGGCCAGAGGAGGCCATGGAGATGCTGGGAGGGCTGGAGCCCCTCTGGAGTTGGGGGGAAAAGAGAAGAGTGCCGGGAGAAGAGAAGGCTCCAGGGAGACTACATAAAGGGGCTGCGGGAAAGATGGGGACAAACTTTTTAGCAGGGTCTGTAGCGACAGGACAAGGGGTAATGATTTGAAATTGAAAGATGTAGGTTCAGACTAGGTCTGAGGAAGAAATGTTTTACATTGGGGGTGGTGAGACCCTGGCCCAGGTTGCCCAGAGAGGTGGGACATCCCCCATCCCTGGAAATGTTCCAGCCCAGGTTGGACGGGGCTCTGAGCAACCTGGTCTCCTGTAAGATGGCCCTGCAAATGGCAGGGGGTTGGACCAGATGCCCTTTAAAGGTCCCTTCCAACCCAAACTATTTTATGAGTCTTCGATCCTTACCCCAGGACTGCCCCACAGCCCACCCACACCCCCACACTCCCCACCACCTTCACCGCCCCAGACAACAGCCCACCCACATCCCCCCCCCTGCCACCTTCACCCCCCAAGGTTCCTGCCCCAGCAGCCCCATACCCACTGTCCCCCCAACTGCAGCCCCATTGCATCCACTCTCCCCATTTCTGCCCCCCATCGCTGGCCCCCACAACCACCTCCTGTAACAGTTCCCAGCTCCCGACAGCTCTCCCCCTCACCCCTGTTGAACATCTCCCCGTGGGTGCCCCCTGGGACCGCCCCAGTGACTCCCAGCTCTGCCCAGCTCCCAGGGACTCAGCCCAGTGCGTTGGGACCCCCAGGCTGGCAGTGCTCCTGGGGGGCAGCCCCGTCGGGCATGGTGGTGGGGCAGGCCATGGGAGCCATCAGCCGCAGGGTCCCGGTGGGCTGGGCAGTGAGGGTGGCCAGCCCCCGTGGGACGAGCCCTGCAGCCCCGATGCGGTGAGACCCGTTGGGTGCCATTGGGAGTGGGGTGTGGGGCGCCCCATGAGGCGGGCCCCATGGCAGCGGGCGGTGCTGTGGGGCAGGAAGCAGTGCGGGTGCGGAAGCCAATTCACAAGCGCCCCACAGCCGGCCCCGCCATGGCAGTCCCCGGCACCTTCCTCCCGCCTGTCCCCATCCTCCTCCTCCTCCTCCTCTGCGGGCTGGGGCCCTGCCTCGCCACCGCCGACGGCTCCCCAGGTAAGGGGGGGACACACATGGGCAGCGGGGGGATGTCGCTCCCCGGGGATGGTGAGCGAGGAGGGCAAGACGTGGGGCTGTGTGGGCCACCAAGGCCTTGGGGGATGTGCCAGAGCCCTCGTGAGCCCACATGAGCCAGGGACCCCTGGGGGGTGCCCTGAACTCCCATCCTGGTGCTGAAGTATCCCTGGCACCCCCAGCCCCATGGCTACTGGCCCTGCGACTCTCCCAGCCCTGTGCCTCCTGGCCCCGTGGCTCCACGGGGGACAGGGACCCCCGGCCATGGGGGTGTCCTGGGGCAGGCTGGGTTGGGGGGCAGGGGCAGGATGTGATGCGCAGATCCTATCGCCCTGCGTCAGCCAGCGGATTGGCACCGGGCACCGTTTCCACCCCGGTGACGCCGGCAGTGTCACGTACAGGTGGGGCACGGGGAGTGGGAGACGGAAGCTCCTCTTTCCAGCGGGGCACCCCCTCTCCCCGGCCCTCGTCCCGCTTCCCGGCCGGCCGTCAGTACAACGCCAGCTTTCCAGGGAAACACTGCCCCTCTGTGTCCTGGGTCTTCCTGGGCTGCCGGGAAGGTGCCCTCCATCTCCATCATCTGCGGAAGCGGCCGGAGCATCCGTCTCCTTGCACTGCAACCCAGGGAAGCTCTGGCTTCCTCCTTCCCCCGTGGAGCTGGCTGAGGGGTTTGGGCCTCGGAAGGGACCGGGTGTCCCCTCGCCTGATTTTTAGGGGGAAAAAAATCCCATTTTCTGGGAGCCTCCAGGCCAGCTCCCGGGCGCCGGCAGCCGGTTTGGCCCTTGCAAGGGCTCTGCGAGGAGCCTCGGTCCGTCGGAGGAGCTCGTCCCGCCGCAATCCGTGCCCAGGGCTGCGGCGTGGGGAGCGGTGCGGGGGTCGGCACCGCCACAGGGGCCCCGCAGCCCCCGGCCGGCCCAGGATGTGGCCTCCGGCTGCGTGGGGCAGGAGCGGGGCTGGCACCGTGGGGCGGAAGGAGGGGGCAGAGGAGGCAGCGCGGGCGCCCGGAGCGGCTGCTGGGTCTCCTGGGGCTCCCCACAGAGATGGCACCGGCGGGGCTGGGGGGCCCCGTGGCGGAGGGGCTGCGGGGGGAGCACAGCCCAGTGCAGGGGGGCACCCGGGAGGGTGACAATGGGGTGAATTTAGCCCGGACGGAGCCGTGGGGCACAAACCCTCAGTTTTCCCGTGGGACGGGCACAAGGGGTCACCGGGGAAGGGTTTCTGTCCTGCCCCACGGCACCGGGGGCGGCAAACGGGGGCTGCGGGGGGACTTCGGGGAGGGGACAGAGGGAACAGGGGCGAAGCGGCACATCACAAAGCTGGTGAGGGGTCTGGAGAATAAGTCTTATGAGGAGAGGCTGAGGGAGCTGGGGTTATTCAGCCTGGAGAAGAGGAGGCTGAGGGGAGACCTTATTGCTCTCTCCAACTCCCTGAAAGGAGGGTGTAGAGAGATGGGGGTTGGTCTCTTTTCTCAAGAGGAAATGGCCTCAAGTTGCGCCAGGGGAGGTTCAGGCTGGATATTAGGAAAAATTTTTTCACCGAAAGGGTTCTCAGCCATTGGAATGGGCTGCCCAGGGAGGTGGTTGAGGCCCCATCCCTGGAGGTGTTCAAAAGACGGGTTGATGTAGTGCTGGGAGGTCTGGTTTAGTGATGATGCTCCTTGTTTGTTGTGTGGGTGTCTATTTTTGTCAGTTAGGTTGACGGTTGGACAAGATGATCTTTAAGGTCCCTTCCAACCTAGAAGATTCTGTGATTCTGTGATCTGGAGCAGGAAGAGGCGGTGGCAGGGGTGCGGGAGGGCCAGCCCTTGGCTGGCAGCCCTTTGGGGGAAGCTGTGGGGCTGCTGGTAGCCCAGGCTACCCCTGGCTACCCCTGGCTACCCCTACCACGTCCCTGCCCCGTGTGTGTGCGGGGGGTGGAGGGGGCCCTGCCCCTGTTGGGGTCCCGGGGAGGAAGGCTGGGGGGGACGTGTCCCCCCAGTGCGCTCCCGGGGCCCCACAGCCTCTGTCCCTCACAGGGGTGGAGTGTGTCTTCTTCAATGAGGAGTACATGACCTGCAGGTGGGGGAGCAGAGAGACGGTGGCTGCCAACTACTCCCTCTACTATTGGTAGGTGCCCCTGCCCCATGGCCAGCCCCACAGCAGGGTTCCCAGCGTGGCTGGTCCCAGCATCAGCCTGCTGCTCTGTCCCTGAGCCCAGCGTGGGGTAGGCTCTGTCTGTGGGGCGAGTGGGATGGGGTGTGCTGGGGAGAGGAGTTCTGGGGTGTGGGGGGTTTCAGGGAGCCCCGGTGACCCGCTGTGGCACAGGTACGAGAACAGGTTCCCCGTGGTGGAGTGTAAGCACTACCTGCAGGACCAGGGCATCAACGTCGGCTGCCACTTCAACCGGAGCGAGACCATCCAGTTCCTGCCTTTCCGTGTCCTCCTCAATGCCAGCCTTGGCAGCAGGACCCTGGAGATCCACAGCAACCGCATGGAGCTGCAGGACCTGGGTACGGAGCGATGGGGGGGCTCCCGCTCTCCTCTATGGGGCTGCTGTGGGGCAGGAGTGAGGCTGGTGGTCTCCCGGGCTGCCCCATCGGGTCCCAGCTGATGGCAGGGCCACCAGGGCACGGGGACAGCACTCAGCGGTCATCGCCTGTGTCTTGCAGTGAAACCGGAGGCGCCCGTCAACCTGACCATCCGCAACGTGAGCGGCAACCAGCTGCAGCTCACCTGGAGCTCCCCGTACGCCAAAGCCCGTTGCCTGGAGCACTCCGTCAAGTATAAGAGCAACAAGGACACCAGCTGGACGGTGGGAGCCCCTAGGGCTGTGCCTGGGGACAAGCCGTGTGCTCTCCTCCATGGCCATGCCAGCCCTCACCGCATGGTCCCCCCTCTTCCCTGCAGGAGCACCGGGTGAACGGAGACATCTTCTCCCTCCCCAGCGTGGACTATGAGAAGTTCTACACCTTCTACGTGCGCAGCAAGATCAACGGCTACTGCGGCAGCACCCAGCTCTGGAGCGAGTGGAGCGTCCCCGTGGTCTGGGGCAACAACTCCACCAGCAAGGGTAGGTCTGGGGGCTGCGGCAGGACGGGGCAGGCTGGGCTGTGGTGGGGTTTGGCAGGTGAGGGGTGGCCAAGCAAGAAGAACACTGGCCCCAGGGAGCAGCTGTAGGGGTGGGACCCATCCGGGCACCTTGGATGCAGGCATCGGCATCGGCCTCTGCCTCCTTTGTGCTTCTGGAAGCCAAGCACCCTCCCCCAGTGGGACCTGCTGACTTCTGCCAGGGGTTTTGTAGCCCTGGAGGGCTGCTCTTGCATGGCCAGTCCAGGACAGGATCACCAGCCAATTGTGGTGACAGCGTGGCAGGGCTTGGGGACCGGCTACTTCCCCATCCTCCGGTCCCAGCTGAGCCCAGCCAGGAACAGTGTGAGCGCCCGTGGCCACCCACAACGTGCCACCGGGGGCCTGTGTCACCCTGGCTCTTCCCAGGTGCAGCGGAGGAGCAGCTGCGCTGGTTCCTGATCCACACGGTCTTGGTCCCCATTGCCTCCTGCCTGCTCTTGCTGGTCCTGGTCATCCTGCTGGTGCGCATGGAAAGGTGAGCCTGGGGGGTGTTGGTGGGGGACAGCAGCGCCGGGACCTGGGCTGCATCAAAAGATGCGTTGCCAGCAGGTCCAGAGAGGTGATTCTGCCACTTTACTCTGCTCTGGTGAGACCTCACCTGGAGTGCTGTGTGCAGGTCTGGAGCCCTCAATATAAGAAGGACATGGACCTGATGGAGAGGGTCCAGAGGAGGGCCACAGTGATGATCGGGGGGTTGGAGCAGGGGGGATGGAGCACCTCTGCTACGAGGACAGGCTGAGGGAGCTGGGGTTGTTCAGCCTGGAGAAGAGGAGGCTCCGGGGAGACCTAATAGCAGCCTTCCAGTACCTGAAGGGAGCCTACAGGAAGGCTGGGGAGAGCCTGTTTAGAAAGGCCTGCAGTGACAGGACGAGGGGCAATGGCTTCAAGCTGGAGGGGAACAGATTTAGACTGGAGATGAGGAGAGGGTTCTTCACTGTGAGGGTGGTGGAGCACTGGAACAGGTTGCCCAGGGAGATGGTTGAGGCCCCATCCTTGGAGATATTCAAGGAGAGGCTCAATGAGGCCCTGGGCAACCTGGTCTAGTTGGAGGTGTCCCTGCTGACTGTGGGGGGGCTGGACTAGATGGCCTTTGGAGGTCCCTTCCGGCCTGGGCAATTCTATGATTCTATGATTCTATGACCCTTCCCCTCCAACACATCTCTTCCCCATAGGGTGTGGGTCATCCTCATGCCCCGAATCCCCAACCCCATCAAGAACTTTGATGAGCTCTTCAGCACCCACAACGGCAACTTCCAGGTAAGGCAGCAGCGGGCTGCGGGACCCCCCCTGCCCTGGGGGGGTTGGGGCTGGGCCGGGTGGTGGTTCCTCTCACCACACTCTGCTCCCCCCAGGAATGGGCCGGCGTCCCCAAAGACGTCGTGGAGAGCTTCAAGCCCAACTACAGCGAGAACATCTGCTACGTGAGCGAGCTGCCCCCCAAGGACAGCTACGAGCCCCTCTGGGAGGGCAGCAACCACCCACCCTCCGTCACACCCGGCTCTCCGCCCGCCCCCCGGGAGCACAGCCCCTACAAGAACAGCTACCTGGGAGTGTGACCCACCCCTGCACCCCACACCCTGCCTGCTCCACACCCCCACTGCCCCACACCTTGCCTGGCTCCCTGCTCCCACCCTGCCTCCAGCCGGGACCCCCAGCCCCGCCATGGCCACACACACCCCTGTGACACGGTGGTGTGCTGGGACTGCGGGGGCTCACTGACACCCCCACCGCTCCGAGGCGCCTGCAAGAACACCCAGGGACATGTCCCCACACCCTGTCCCCTTTGTGCCCCCACCTCCTGTCCCCATCCCTGCTGCCCCATGCCCATCACCCTTGTGTCCCAACCTCCTGTCCCTGTCCCTGCTGTCCATGTCCCCATCACCCTTGTGCCCCACCGCCCTGTCCTCACCCCTGCTGTCCCCACACCCATCCCCCTTGTGCCCCCACCACCCTGTCCCCATCCCTGCTGTCCCCACACTCACCACCCTTGTGCCCCACCTCCTGTCCCCATCCCTGCTGTCCCCATGCCCATCACCCTTGTGTCCCAACCTCCTGTCCCCGTTCCTGCTGTCCATGTCCCCATCACCCTTGTGTCCCACTGCCCTGTCCTCACCCCTGCTGTCCCCACACTCATCATCCTTGTGCCCCACCTCCTGTCCCCATACCCATCACCCTTGTGTCCCACCACGCTGTCCCCATCCCTGCTGTCCCCACACTCACCACCCTTGTGCCCCCACCCCCTGTCCCCATCCCTGCTGTCCCCATGCCCATGACCCTTGTGTCCCAACCTCATGTCCCCATCCCTGCTGTCCCCATGCCCATCACCCTTGTGCCCCCACCTCCTGTCCACATCCCTGCTGTCCATGTCCCCATCACCCTTGTGCCCCACCACCCTGTCCTCACCCCTGCTGTCCCCACACTCACCACCCTTGTGTCCCAACCGTCTGTCCCCATCCCTGCTGTCCCCACACCCACCCCCCTTGTGTCCCAACCGTCTGTCCCCATCCCTGCTGTCCCCACACCCACCCCCCTTGTGTCCCAACCGTCTGTCCCCATCCCTGCTGTCCCCACACTCACCACCCTTGTGTCCCAACCGTCTGTCCCCATCCCTGCTGTCCCCATACCCATCACCCTTGTGCCCCACCGCCCTGTCCCCATCCCTGCTGTCCCCATGCCCATCACCCTTGTGCCCCCACCTCCTGTCCCCATCCCTGCTGTCCCCGTCCCCATCACCCTTGTGTCCCAATGCCCTGTCCCCATCCCTGCTGTCCCCACACCCATCACCCTTGTGTCCCCAATGCCTTGTCCCCATCCCTGCTGTCCCCATGCCCATGACCCTTGTGTCCCA